AATTGAAGCGTGAGGTGTCTCGTTTGTTGTATAAAAATTTGAGAGCAATTGGATGAGTGGATTTTCTGCAGTAGTTCGTGGAGTGAGGGATGTTTGGAGCTGTTTTGGGGTTGGTTGGCAGTTTTGCTTGTCCAACTTCAAACAGCGATATCCGGAGCAAATGAACTCTAAATAACTCGTGTGATAGCTTTCTAGAAAGGTAATTGAGTGTAGAATAATATATCAAAATATGGGAGGCTTGTAGAATGAAGTTTATCCGCAGAAAATTAATAACCAAACCATGTTCGGAGGAGTAGAAAACGTAAAAGTGAGAATTATGCTAAGTGGGTTTATGGGAACCCCTTAGTGACTTATAGTAAGTAAAATAAGTTATAAAAGTAGTCTAAATAAGTATTCCACAAAGAATTTACATTTACGATCACAGATTTTAATTATTACGCTTTTTATTGTTTTAAATGCTCGCGTAATCACGGAAAAAGTTTAGTTACGAAACCCCTTAGAATCTAATCATGAACACCACAAAAGCATGAAAATCTCAACATACAATATGTTCATGATCTAAGTCCAAAATGATAATGTCATACTATGTGCATCAAATAAACTCCTCCAAAATGCCATGCTCATCATGATCAAACTCCTCCATGCTCGCTATAGCCTGAAATGATGTCCCCAAACGCAGGGTGAGATATACAAATATATCTCAGTAAACCAAGGGTACTAGAGGATCACTCCACCCCATGGCTCACTCAAAGTGCAACAATCAACATCTTGTAAAAATGCATAACATACAAAATCACAAACAACTGGGGACAAATCCAAGAACATCCACATCAGGATTCTGTTCAAGGACCCCATCGTATAACTCCCGGAATCTTCCTGGTGCCTCTCCCATGGATGAGACGACCCTATGGCAAAACCCAACTGGAACTCCTCATGAGCCCTATCCAGCGGAAGTCCCACGTTTGGATCATCCTGGTACCGCTCCCAGAGTCGGCCCCACGGCAAAACCCGACCAGAATCCCCAAAGGATATCTCTAGCGGAAGTCCAAACCAACACACATCTACTGGCTAGAGATCAAACAATTCACACACAACATGCTCCAAGCATGTCACACAATCAAGTAATAATGCATGAACATACATATTCACACAATGTTCAAAGGCACAAAATCCAACCACAATCTTCCACTAGGTGTGGTGGAGCACACAAGGAACTAAATCCAAGTTCCAAAGGTTTACCTCAACTCCGAAGCCAATGCTCCACAACGTAAGCTCCAAGCTTAATCCGCTTCTATAGCGTCCATCCGAGTAACCTATAATGATCAAACAACATGATCATCAACACAATTTCAGGGCAACCAATTCACTTTCAATATACAATATCCAAAACCCATCCACTTAGGCTAAAGGGCTAATCACACTTATTTTTCCTTAATCTTCATTATAGGTCAAGTTCTCACATACACATATATATTCAATGCTCTTCCATCCAAATCAACACATCACACCAACCTACCATTCATTTAACACCAATCACAATCATACATCACCATTTATATAACTTTTACATCATCAACCATTTATGATCACAATAGGTCGAATTCTTCAAGCTAGGGTCCCAAAGGATTTTCAACTCATTCCAACACTTCTACACATCCTATAATCATGCAATTACTTCATACAATTGCTCCATAACTCAATTACACAATCCTATCAACAATCCAAAATCACAATTTCATGGCATCATTCAAATTTCCTAAGTTATGAACATATTTTCACCAATAATTTTTATTGGATTTCTAGCTCAATTACATCATTTTAAGACATAATCATCTAATACACATTTTCCATTTGAGCTCTCTAACAACACAAATCATCCAATTTCACTCTAGGGCACAATTCATAAATCTCATGAATCAATCAATGGAAAATGTTAAAACTTACTCAATAGGTCGGTCTAGGGCTCCTCCACATCATACTAAACCATTGGAGCATCCAACAACTCCATGAACACAAATCTACACAAAAGGGGCACGGCCTTTAGGGGAGTTTTTCTCAAAATATATGGAGATTCATGGCTTAAGACTACTACCAATGTTTTTGGATGGTGATTTACAACAAATTTGATGACAAACTTTACTTGATTCGGTGAGATATAGAGGGAGTTACAAGAAAAGGGAATTTCCAAGATTTTTGGCTATGGAGGGAAGCAGTGTCGCGGGAGAAAAGAAGAGAATGGAGAGAGAGTGTGTCATGTAATTGTGACATTTAAGTCACTTAAACTATAGGTGGGTCCCACATGCGATTTAACTTTAATCAACCACTAATTTCAACCACAAATTCATAACCTACGTATTTTTCTCGTTTATGTCATATTTTTGTTTCCTAAAAATACTGACAATATTTTCACACTTATCGGTACAATTATACCGCAGTATTTTTACACTAGTAAAATCACTATTCATCAAATTTTTCGAAATTTGCCTATCCACTCAATTTTTCGTCCTGAATCCATTTCCGGCATTATTTTTGTCATTTGAGATCTTCTACTCAATTTTTCATGCCTAGATATACGTGTTTGTTAAATTACCATTTTGCCCTTTTCATATATTTTGGCCCTAATTTCAGGATTTTCACTAATCATACCCCTTTAATCAACATTATCACATATAAAAACATATTTAAGATACGAGGTGTTATAGCACTCAATTTAAAAAAATAAAAATAAATAAAAGAAGTGTGAGTGACACAGGGGGAGGTGTGCGGAACTCAGTGACGCCGGGTCCCCCTCGCGTCAATCAATAATCCCAATTAGTAAATATCGTGAACCAAAGAGCCCTAATCAGCCCACTGAATATTAATGACATTGAAAATTGCTAATTATTTCACTCAACCTCCCTTGGATTGATGACATTAACTAAATTCTGATTATGATTTAATTTGGATTTGATGTCTTCATGATTAGCCCACATTTGTTGGATCAACCCACTAAGAGTTTTCTTAAACTTCTTGGCCCATGACCTTGTGATTGACCCATTTGGTAATTGTAATGGATCATTGGGTGTTGTCTTCTTATTCATATCATTCTCTCCCTCTTCAAAAGGATTTGTCCTCAAATCTGCACCTACATCATAAGGAGATAAGTCAGAAACATTAAAGGTTGCATTAACATTGTACTCACTTGCAAGGTCAAGCTTGTAGGCATTATCATTTATCCTCTCAAACACACCCTCACGTGTTTCACTCCCAATTAATAGCTCTCACACTCGTATTTCAAAATTAGGCTTTTACCCTCTTATAAGCTCAAACAGTCTTGCCTTTTACCCCTCTTTTAGTTCTTTGCTAAAACTCAATGAACTTAATTGAAGTTTTTCTTGAAGTAATACAATCAGAGATCACACAACAAATTGATATGAGAATAAAGATAATGATATGATGTAAAAAGGCTAAAAGAACAAGATCTTGAATTTCCTCCTTTTTTCGTTTTTTTTTTGGTTTGCTTTTTTTTTAAACAAGATAATACAAAAACAATAAATTCAATTTTTTTTATTGAAGTCCTTGAACAAGAGCAAGATAAACAGGTATAAAAGAAACAAGAACCCCCTTTTTTTATACCTAAATTAGAACCCTAGAGCTCTGATACCAAACGATAGGAACCTCACTAAGAATAGTGAGACCCAAAACCAATTTAGTTAGGATCATTTCTAAATTGGTCTTGCAATGATGCATGCTTTCCCCTAATCTAAACTTTTTTAGTTTTCCCTTAATGTACTAAATTTTTTTAAACAAATTAAATTTATTATCATTAATTATGATTTGACTAAGGATTTTTTGTTAATTTTTTTCAGAAGAACTCAAATATTTAATATTTTTAATAAAACTTTTTCAGAATGAATGTATAAGTAATCTCCATCCTATTAACGATTGTATCTTGATAATTGATATCATACTATATAATTGCTTGAATGCTAGAGTTATTCGTGAAATATTGAATTCCAAATTATTATTTATTAATATAAAATATTTAAATTCTTTCACTAAATATTGAAAAAAATCAATAACCAAATCATAAATAATTATAATAAATTTAAAGTTTTTAAATTTGTAAGAATTTCAAAAATTGCGTGAGAACTATTCATTTAACTAAATGAATTTAATGCTTGTGAAATATTAATACTGACATTATTTACGATCATTATTATATAATAATTATTATTTGTAACCATAATTAATAATTTGGTAGATGAGAAAATAGAGATAGAAGAGATAGTGAAATTTGGAATGGGCGTGGCTATAAAAAAAAAACAAATTGGAATGGGCGACTGACTATAATCCTGTCAAATTCGAATGAGTGGAATGCAAGACTAGCCTCGCATGGTAGATGCATGTTTTACCTCGTCGTATCACATGGGAGTCTAGCATCCTCCATGCAAGATGCGTCGGTCTTGCATAACCTCGTCACTCGTGTGAGATTGATTGTATTATATTGATAATATATTTTAAAATTACATTAATATAATAATTAAAAATAAATAAATAAATCACAACCATCGTTTTTCCTGTTTACCAGTTTGGAAAAGATCTGTTTCCTTCTTAAGAGATATTATTATGATTATATAATGTAGCTAAAAATAATTACGTAATAAAATTTGGCCTTCAACTTGGACGGTTGAACCTAATATTAATCGGTAAATATTTATTATCTCCTAATTTTTATAATAATTATGTAATCCATGTTATATAAAATAGAATAAAATCTTACAATATCACAAAAAGTAACCTGGATTGTAAAAATAAATAACATTAATTAGCTTCTGATTCCAACTATTTTAATAATATACAATTAGTATTGTAATTAATATTTTAAAACTTTCAACAAAAGTAGAAATTTTTTTGAAGTGGAAGACAATTGTATTATCGTAGAGGTACATCAGTGTTTACCGAAAAAAAAAAAAAAAAAGAGGTACATCAGTGCTGTATAAGAATCTCTCGACAATATTCCTTCTTCTCTTTTCCTAATTACCATTTCATTTCCCCCAATTCATCTTTCTCTCTCTCTCTCTCTCTAGAGGAGGGGCAGCAGCAGCTTCGCCTCTCTCTCAAATATTCCGCGTGCAAAACCGAATCGAAGGAACCAAGTTTGATCTTCTGGAATTCAAAAGGTTTTGTTTTGCTTTCGGTTTTCGGTAACTAATTGAATCCCTAATTATTTCTACCAATTCAATTGCATATGGGGTCTCTTCCAGATTCGGGTTTCCTGTTGGAATCGATCTTCTTTTCTTCGATGGACTCCTCCTTGCTGTTATATTCATATTCTATAGCCCTTTTTCTCTCCGTTGGATGATGAGCTAGTGGGCTTTGATGCTATGTATAGTTGATTTGTGTATATGAGCTTGTTTCATACCAGTTTCAGCTATTTGTTACTTCTCCAAACGAAATTTTGGAGGTACTTTTGTGTGGAGATTTATGGGTATTCTTTAAATTAGAAGGATCTTGATTTATTTATTTTTATTTATTTTTGGTTTTTGTATAATTTAACTATTCCTAAAATTTGGTTGTTTTGGATTCAATACATATGCTGATGTTTCTATTGTTTTTGTTTTTATATGGAAGTTCAGAACTTCAAAAGCTTAAGTCACAGACATCCATATTAAACTCGTCGCATGATTTATTTTTAAAAGTGACGCAAAGTTCATAGATATTTTCCTTCAATCATTTGAAACTATTTCTATAATTTACCACGGATTAACCAATTGTCTTTTTGGTCTCTAAATTATGGGAGAGAAATTTGCAATTCGTGTTTAATGCAGTTAAATCGGCAAATTTATATGAAGGATGTCGTGTCAGTTATACTGTATATTAGCTTTCCACTCATTCTACAACACATGATTTGGAACATTTTATTCTATAGTTTAATTGTCGTGTGTTCTCAAGTTGATATCTCTTTCAGATTATAATGTTCTTCACTCTGACAAGATCAATATCTGGAATTTTATTTTTCGATGCAATCATTGGAGTAGTTGATCATCTGAGGGGCACGAGTGGAGTTCAGCTTATTTAGATGATAATGAAACATAGAGTGAGGAGGATAAAAGCATGCAACTTAATTTCAGATATCTTCAATTCTTTAGCCAATTAAAGGTTGACACATATTGGGTGAAATGAAAATTTGAAGTTATGTAGACCATGGTGCTGATGTTTTACAAGATTGCACCAACATGCCAATTATGAGGATTGCATGGTACAAAATGGAGAAATATGAGAGAAGGGATAGATATAGCATATGACTTAGGTCAAGATATTTCCTAAGCATGTTTGGGCTAGTTATAGTCTTCACCCGTCAGACTGACGTTTAATAATTTTCCATTCAATTAACCTTTTATGGGGTAATGTTATATTTTGTAGTTTAACACGTAGTTATCAAATACATATAGCGTCCTGTTGTGGCCAACCCTGGAAATGCTATAAGGGTTGTAGTATGGAGGAATAGTGTAGCAGCTGCAACTTCTCTCTCCGCAATCCGCTACTGTAGCAGAATTGCGTGCTTTCGCGCCATAATTGATAACTATAACACATAAGAGAATATTGGTTTTTGATAGAGCTCAATGGTGTTGTTTAATTCTTGTAGCTGATCCCATCTAATGGGATAAGGCTTGGTGGTTTTTCATAAATGAGAGTATAATAATTGGAAGGATAAATTCGATGCTAACATTTTAGCACATATGTTATGGAGGTGCAGCGTTCATAACTAATTATTTCATTCTGAAAAGAAGCCCTCCCGTGGAGTCCACTTTTTGATAACTTTTTTCTTTGTTTTTTTCAAAAAGAAATTTGATAGAGCTCAACCGTTTAATTGAATCCATGAAGCTGATCCCGCGTTTTGGGATAAGTATTGGTTGCGATGTATTTTTTTGATTTGCTCTGATTTTTGGAACTTCCGAAATTTTCCAGTTCATGCCTATTCATTGTACATGGTATGTCAAATGTGTTTTTAGGTTTGTCTTTTATATCTTATTACCTATTTATTTTTACACTGAATAATCTTATAATAATTTTGGTGTGTTTTACATTAGGTTTACACAGATTGTTTTTTATATCAAATTCAATTTTCTCAATTTCTCATGTTGATGCTATCTTTATGTAGCTTCACATTCATTCAATTGTTCCCCTGGGGGGTGGAGAATTTAGTTATTTTAAAATTGAAAACTCAATGCCTAAGGAGAGAAGAGATAGTTCCTTGTCACATGATAGTAGCAGAACATCACCTTATCCAAGCAGCTCTATTCCTGTCAGGAGATCTGCATCTAGAACTCCTTTAGAGTCTGAGGAAAATGTTAAAGAATGGGAAGAAGCTAGGTGTCCAGTTTGCATGGAGCACCCTCACAATGCAGTTCTCCTCATTTGTTCATCCCATGAGAAGGGGTGTCGCCCTTACATGTGCAACACCAGCCATCGCCACTCAAACTGTCTTGATCAGTTCTGCAAGTCATTTGCAGCAGAAACCTCGCCTACCATTTCTCAAGTAGCAAGTCAGATTTCAAACACTAACTCGACTCTCGTCCAGGCTACAGAAGTAATTACCATTGATGATGTGCAAGAAGAAAGAAGTGAGGGGTCCATTACAGCACATTCCTTATCTTATGAGGATGAGGCAAAATCAAAGCTAGTATGTCCTCTGTGTCGAGGTCAAATAAAACAGTGGAAAGTTGTTGAAGCTGCTCGTTGTTTCATGAATGAAAAATTAAGGAGCTGTTCATGTGAGACTTGCAACTTCAGTGGTTCTTATACGGATCTTAGAAAGCATGCAAGGCTTGAACACCCTCTTGTGCGCCCATCTGAGGTAGACCCAGACCGGCAGCGTAACTGGAGAAGGTTGGAGCGACAGAGGGATCTTGGGGATCTGCTAAGCACATTTCAATCATCCTTTGGGGAAAATAGGGTTGAGGATGGCATTCCTCCCATTGATGATGGTGGTTTGCTAGCTGTGTTTTTCCTTATTCTTCAACCTACTTCTATGTCAAGGGGTACTGCAGGAACCAGACTAATGCGAATAAGGAGGAGATCTACTAGGCTCTGGGGGGAAACCCTTGAAGGGCAATCTGGATCTCCTTCTAGAGATGATGAAAATGAGTCTTCAGATGGGGGTTCAGATCACTTGAGGCATAGTGTTAGGAGACGGGTAACTCCTGATGATGAGCAGTGATTTGGAAGATCAAGTGTTTCTATTGGAATTCTTTAAATGTTCTTAAGCAGGTGTTGTCTCTCATCTCTCCACTTTGCTGTTTTTTCGGATTGTGATAACTGATATTGGTCACTAAGTGACTTGTGTTTGTCACAGGTGGAACAAAAGAATAGAAAAAGGGGAGTTTTCGGTGTGCATCTTGAAAGCTGCTACATCCTGTGAGGATTAGTTCTGGGTTTGCAGTGCTGATTAACTGGGATTATGATCCTGTAATGTATATTTAATATTTTGTCCTTCCCTATCTTTGCTGCAATTTCTCGTTGATTTTAACGATTGAGGTTAAAATAAGATTTCACTCTTGCCGTTACTTTAGCAGTTGTCCGGTTGCCAAGGACATAAAGCTTTCATCATGTTCATTTTTAAGTTTGCTTGGCGATTTTTAAGTTTGCTTGGCGTAAATCTTAACGGCATTGGGTTTTAACCGATTATGGTGGGTACTTGGATCACTCCCAAATGATATGGTTGGGAGTGGAGCTGAGGATAGAAATTATTTTCCTAGTAGAGGATGATTATCTTTTAAAAAACTTATTTAAAATCAGTGCATGTCATGGGCTTTAACCAAGGGCTTGCAGCAATGTAAGATTGTATTAAAAAAAATAAAATCGCTGGATGTAGAAATCAAATCTAAGCCGTTCAAGAAAGTATGTTGGTTTATATTTTATCTGATGTTATCAAATGATGTAGTTGAACAATAATCTCTACCTAGTGTGATGTTATGAAGTGATGTTGAACAATGATTTGTACTCTACTATGTCTCTATCATAAATAGGTTAGGCGAGAGGATTTTACCCAATGAACTCGAAAGGTATTATCAACAAACAACAGAGAACAGAAAACTTCATATTTATTATTCATTATCTATCAGAATGGTACAAGTGAGAATTTATACTACAAGACCTCCCTCAGGTTGTTACAACAGCATAACAGAAATACAACTGCATAACAGAAACTAAGTTTGTTACAACAGCATCCTACGTGGCAACCTATACAACATTCTAGAAATGAAAGGAGGAATATATGTTAATACTCCCCCTCAAGATGGAGAGTAGATGTTAAGAACTCCCATCTTGGAGAGAAGAGCATGAAATGGTGTAGGATGCAAGGCCTTTGTCAACATATCAGCAAGTTGACTAGAAGAAGGAACATGAAATGTACGTAAAGTCCCTTTAGTAATATACTCACGAACAATGTGACAATCAATGTCAATATGCTTCGTGCGCTCATGGAACACAGAATTTGCAGCAATATGGAGGGCTGCTTGACTGTCACAAAACATATGAGCAGGTCCAGAATGAGGTGTATGAAGATCACGCAGCAATGAGAAAAGCCACAACAGTTCACATGTGGTAAGAGCCATTGATCTATATTCTGCCTCAGCTGATGACCGTGAGACAATAGTTTGTTTCTTGGACTTCCATGAAATTAAAGAATGACCAAGAAAAATACAGAATCCAGATGTGGATTTGCGAGTATCAGGGCATGAAGCCCAATCAGAATCACAAAAGGCATGTAATTGTAATGGAGAGGAAGATGAAAAGAAGACACCTTGGCCAACAGTGGATTTTAGATAGGATAGGACACGATATGCAGCATGTAAATGTGGAATCCTTGGTGCTGACATAAACTGACTCAAATGATTGACTGCAAGGCATAAATCAGGTCTAGATACTGTGAGGTAGAGAAGCTTTCCAATAAGCCTGCGATATTGTGTTGGATCAGGTAGTAGATCACCATCATCAACAGAGAGCTTGAGATTAACTTCTAGAGGTGTGTTGTGAGGTTTGCATCCAAGTTGACCTGAATCTTGTAATATTTGTAATGCATACTGTCTTTGGCAGAGAAAAATTCCTTTTGGAGAGCGAGCTATTTCCAAACCAAGAAAATATTTGAGGGATCCCAAATTTTTAAGCTTGAACTTGCTATCTAGAGCAGTAGTTAAATGCTGCACCTCAGAAAAATCATTAGAAGCAACAAGAATATCATCAACATATATCAGAATAGCAATGAATAGATCATTATGTTTCTTAACAAACAGTGAATGATCAGCTGGAGATTGAGTAAAGCCAAGTGAAATGACAGTAGTGGATAGTTTGGCAAACCATTGCCTTGAAGCTTGTTTCAAACCATAAAGAGATTTGGTTAATCGACAAACAGCATCTGGTGGCATCTCCCCCTTACTAGAATAACCAGGAGGAACCTTCATGTATACTTCCTCTAACAAATCACCATGGAGAAAGGCATTGTTGACATCCAATTGGATAAGATGCCAACCAGAAACAGCAGCAAGGGCAAGCAATAATCGAACAGTTGTAATCTTTGCTACAGGAGCAAAAGTATCAAAAAAATCAATACCTTCTTGTTGGTTGAATCCTTGAGCGACAAGCCTTGCTTTAAAACGTTCAAGGGACCCATCTGCATTATATTTTACACGGTAGACCCATTTGCAACCCACAACTGGTTTACCAGGAGGAAGAGAAGTAAGCTGCCAAGTGTTGTTTGCTTCAAGAGCATGGATTTCAGCTTCCATGGCAGCAGTCCACTCAGGTAACTGGGAAGCTTCAGAATATGTTTGAGGTTCAAAATGTTGGGAAATGGCATTAACATATGCTAGATGTGGAGGAGCAATATGGTCATAAGAGATATATTTAGAAATAGGGTGGGATGTAGATGAAGAACATATGTAATCTTGAAGATGAGGAGGTGGTTTAGAGACACGAAGGGGTCTTGAGGTTGAGGGTGCAGTTTTTGTGGAAGAATGATAAGTAGGTAGAGAAAAAAATGATGAATCAGTTGGTGTGGAAGATGCAAAAGGAAAAATATTTTCTGAGAATATCACATCTCTAGAAATGATGATACGGTTGGAATGAAGATCCAGAAGCTTGTAACCTTTGTATCCAGGTGGATAACCAATGAATACAGCAGGTAAAGAACGTGGAGAAAACTTGTGACGGGTTTTGGACAGGGTAGAATAATGACACAAACACCCAAAAACTTTAAGATGATCATATGAAGGTGACCTGTGAGAAAGAAGCTCAAAAGGAGTCTTGTTATGTAAAAGTGGAGATGGTGTCCGATTAATAAGATATATGGCAGTGAGAATACATTCAGGCCAATAGACTAAAGGAATATGAGATTGAAAATATAATGCTCGAGCAACATTGAGAATATGTTGGTGTTTTCTTTCAACCACTGAATTTTGTTGTGGTCTATCAACACAAGAGTGAAAAATTTGAATGCCTTTAGAAGAAAAAAAAATCGGACAAATGGAATTCTGGTGCATTATCACACCTAATTGATTTAATTGAAATGTTGTATTGTGTAGACATCAGTGTATAGAATTGAGGAAAAACAGTTTTAAAACCAGATTTGTGTTTCAAAAAATAACACCAAGTGAATCGAGTTGCATCATCTACCAAAGTTAAGAAAAATTTGTAACCATCAACAGAATGGGTATGGAAAGGTCCCCAAATGTCACAATGTATTAAATCAAAAACAGAATGAGACATTTTGGGATTCAATATAAAAGGCAATCTGCGTTGCTTTGCAAGTGGACAAATCAAACATGGAGAAGAAATACAATCACTATCAGTAAAATGTAAATCATGTTTCATCTGATTTAAAACTGTATGAGACAAATGACCAAGACGAAAATGCCAAATAACAGATTTTGGCAGACTAACAGTGGAACAAAAAATTGAAGGAACATCAAAATGTAAAAGAGACAAAGCATCTAAAATGTAAAGACCACCAACTCTCTTAGCAGTCCCAATCACTTTGGCCGAGGAAGGGTCCTGAAGAGAACAAGATGAAGAAAAAAAATTAGCAACGAGGGATGAGTCTCGTGTGAGAGCACTGATGGACAAAAGATTGAAAGAGAAGGATGGAACATATAGAACATTATGGAGTATAAGTGTAGATGAAAGTTTAACACTACCAATAGAATGTACAGAAACTGAAGTGTTATTTGGAAGAGAGACTGTGAAATCGGATGATAAAGATGAAGAAAAAAAATTAGGTGTGCATGTGACATGATGTGTAGCACCCGTGTCCAAAACCCATGAAGTTAATGGAAAAGAAAAAGATGACCTACCACTGAAGCTGGCAACTGAAGGAGATGTATCCGTGGTAGATGGATGTGATGCAGCAGGTGAAGACGTGTTGGTGTTAGAAGGAAGAAGACTCATAAGCTGTTGATATTGGTATGGAGTCAACGTGGGAGTAGTTGAGGTGGGTTCAAGACAATTAGAGGCCAACATATTAAAATTGGCATGGGCTGAAGGGTTAAGTGGACTGGGCCGCATGGATCTGGGCTTGTAGCCAGGAGGAAATCCATGTAACTTGAAGCATTTTTCTTTCGTATGACCAACAACATGGCAGTGGGTACATTGGGGCCGTGGACGACGGAGCGGAGCAGAGTAAGCAGCAGCCACCGGAGTAGGGCCGGAATCTGGAGATGAAGACATGCCAGAAGCAGAATTGAGTAACGGTGTATCTGGTACCATGGACGGAGAATGTGTAATCTGACGTTGTCTTTCTTCTTGAAGAATCAAAGAAAAAATTCTTGACAATTGAGGAAGAGGTTCCATGAGTAGAATCTGAGCTCTTACAGAAGAAAAAGAATCATTGAGTCCCATTAAAAATTGAAGAGCATAATCTTGCTGATGAAGATCAGAAATCAAACGTGAAGCTCCACAAGTGCACACAGGAATAGAAGCATAATCTTGAAGTTCATCCCAAAGCACTTTGAGGCGCGTGTAATAAGCATTGATATCAAGATTTCCTTGTGTAAGAGATGAAATCTGTTGTTTTAATTGAAAATTTTTCGGACCATTGGCTTGTAAAAAACGGATTCGGAGATCCGTCCAGATCTCAGATGCAGATGAGAAATATAGAAGACTGTCAGCTATGTCCTTAGAAACAGAATTCAAAATCCAAGATGTTACCATGGAATTACAGCGTTTCCAGTAAGGAAATAGAAGATCATCAGAACCAGGTTGGGGAAGAGAACCATCAACAAAACAGGATTTGTTCTTTGCTGATGAAGCAATCATCATTGCACGACTCCAAGAGTGAAAGTTGGATCCAAGAAGAGCATGAGCAACCAGTATCAGCCCAGGATGATCACCGTTACTCAAGAAGTATGGGCTATTCGAATCCTCCATGGATACAGAGGATGAAAGAACTGAAGATGATGCGGTTGGACGAGATGGATTGTTATTTGCAGATCCACGAGCCATGACAAAGACAAGAACTATGAATCTACTGATACCATATTATCAACAAACAACAGAGAACAGAAAACTTCATATTTATTATTCATTATCTATCAGAATGGTA